CACAGGGGTCGACGGACAAGGATGCGACCACCAACAGGACGGACGCCATCAATATCAGGAGGGTCATGGAACAGCACAGGGCGGCCAACGTGGTGTGTCAGATACAGCCCATGATATCGCAGCCCAAACCGCTGACGAGGACTGATCGGATGAGAATCTTTGAGAGGAATTGTTATTGATGTAACCCCGATGTTAGGTTATAGAGTATGTTTTTTTTTGGATTTTGTTAAAAAAAAAATTTTGTGTGTAGGGAATGTCACTGGCCCATAAAGGGGTGGCATGCCCTAGTATGTTATGCTTTAAAAGCATGTATTCACATTTAATTTTGTTAAACGTCAATCAGATCTATTGTATACATCTGATTGGTATGCAAAAAAAAATGATAATTATATAATGTATATTTTTCGAGATATATTCAATTATTGAAGTTTTTAAATTTTAAAAAAATTCTTTTAAAAATTAATAAATTATGGAAAAAATATGATAATTTTTTACTATATTATGATTATTGGATTTTTCAATTTTTGATGATTTTTATTAATTAATAAAGTGAATGCAAATATAATATTCAATATTCTTTCTACAATCTATATAACGATTCTTTTAAAATTAAAAAAGACTTGAACCATTCGAACCAAATATATATCAATTTATTATCATTGGTTCATATTTATACAATCATAATTAAAAAAAATGTAATTTACTCATATTTAAGTATTAATATACATATACAAACAACATCTAAAAATCCATACAAAAATCCATCAACAAAAGAACATCTGGCTTTCTTCTTACATTAATCCTCAAAAAAACCCAACTCAAAATCCAAAGATCCTTTTGATTGACATTTCATATATATCATTATATATATTTAAATATATAACAAAAATACAAAACTACAACATATACTTTCTTATTGAGAAATCTATAAAATTTTGTGATGTTCTAATCTATAATTGTAAAAGTTTTATAAATTATATTTTAAATATAATTATTAAAAGTTGAGATTTAGTCATAAATTATCAATATTTGTTAAGAATAGGGGAGGTATTTTGCAATTAAAAAAAAAGAAGATCGATCCTTATAGGGGAGACCGGGGTAAAGCAAGTGACGACAATGTTAACGATTAACATTTTAAAAGAAAGAACTAGTGCTTAGCTATCCTGGGTATGGAGTAAAATAGTATATTATACATATTAATCATAGCCTAAAGTATTTTAGGCTACACTCTTTTTATTTTGCATGTGATTGTAAAATTTGATCTGATTTGCTTTTGTTTAAAATTTTAATGATAAAAATGCAAAATATCAATTATTTTACCCATGCACGTAAAAACAATTACTTTTTTTGTACATAAAGATAACAACGCTTTTATAAAAAATCAGAGACTGATCATTAAAATAGCTATAGGATTTGAAATTAATATATATTTTGAACAAAGTACATTTATTAAATAATAGACTGGGCAAAAAATAAAAATAGAGGAAAATTGTATTTTTTTATAAATCAAGATGTAAAAAGACATCTATTCTCTATGTTTTTTTATTAAAGATAAAAATAATTTTTAAACTTTTTCAATTTTTTTAACGAAAATGGGGAAAAATATGTATTGTAAACATTTTCATGATGTCTTTGTTATAAATATTTTTAAATAACATTATATGTAAACTTTTGTTATAAAATAATATACATGTAAAGAATTATTTATTATTATTTTCAAGCACTAGCTATAAATTAATTTTTTAATATTAGGTAAATTATTTAAATTATTAAAATATTTACAAAATGTAGATAATCTTGACCTATATGCCTTAAAAGTTTATTTACAATTTTAAAATAGAAAATAATTTTGTACATTAGTTGGCGTTAAAGTTCAAAAACATTTTACTATTAAAAATTTCCGTTTTTTTATATGGCAATCATGTTTTTATACCGATGTGATTGAGAAGTACAGTCAGAAATATTTGCTTTTTTTCAGGTTATTACCGTTTCAGGATGGAAAATGCTGTGAGAGACAAATTCAGAAATATAAAAAAATATTTATGGCAATTGCAATGAGAAGGAATAGGTTTGAATCATAAAAAAGGATACTCATTTATCGAATAATAACCTTGCAAAAAACGATTAATTCTGTAAAGAAAAAAATTCCAATCTACTAAATCAAAGGTTAAAATATGCAGCAATATAGAATTCATTGTTGATGAATCAGTGATATAATACAATGGTAAATATAGTGCCAAACAATTTCTTTAAGTAAATCCTATAGGATTTGGGTATAAAATTGGTTAAATCCTGGCGAATATTTAGCCTGTTTTTACCCAACGCCTGTCCATGTTTAATTTTTTACTATTTAGAATTTAATTAAGAAAATTGACATTAAAACTAGCAATTATAGTTTTCATCGGAAAAAATACATGTTACTATTTTTAATTGAGGTTTACAATCTCAAATGTAGAATTGTAGCCTCCTAGCTTTAATAGGTATGGAGATATAGGGGGTTAAAGTGACATTATTTGGTCATTTTTCGAAAAACCAATTTTTTAAAATTGGGATACTTTAATATTAGAAAATAAAATAAATATATATATTATGAATCATTTTATAGCCCCAAAAACCTCTAGCAAGTATTCTGAATAAAATTAACTCTTAGTTAAAAATTTGTAACTATTTTTTAGAATAGTTAGAAAAATTATCTATTTCCAAATTTACATTTTTTAAAGATATCTTGACAATTCCTATAAAAAATTTCAGGACGGGTGAAAAAAAGGTAAAATAAAATAAATCACATTTTTGTAAAAAAATAAAATCTCCACTAGAGAGCGCAAGTAATTTAAAATAGCCAAAAACCTATTTTTTACAATATAAGTCAAATAGTATTTTAGAAATGTCATTCTGCCGGGATAGTCTGTCTGATGATAACACAAATTTATGCAATTATTTCTATTTTTATATTGAGCCTCGTTCTCATCGGAATAATAAAAAATATATTTCGCAGACAAAGTAATTTTAGAAAATGTATTAATTATTTTTGAAATAAATGAAACTCATATATTATGTTTCAGCGACTCGAATAGTATTGTTAGATAGTCGAGTCTTTTCGACCCTGAACTCGAGCCGGAGTCGTAAATAATGGCTCAGACTCGAGCGGCTTAATAAGCTGTTTGAGCCGAACCCTGAGCAGATTATATATATATAAATTATATTATATATAAGAATTCATAAAAAATTATACAATGAATTTTATGTATATAATTATAATCGCCATAAATATTTATCATATTTATATAAAATTAATTTTATATGTTTTCGTGTTTTTAATATTTTCTTAAAATGTATGTTATTTTTAAAAGTAAAATATTCATAAAATTATCCAAAACAAAGTATTAGACTAAAGTGGTAGAGTTTTTGTAGCTAAAAATAAGCACATGAATTACCGAAGAGTTCTGAAGCCCACTCATGTGACTCAGCTCTACAATATGGATAAAATCTAACTTTGTGGATATTAAAGATGGAAATATCAATAATCAACTCAAACAATTGAAAGATTATGGTTGAACCTAAAACAACATTTAAAAAATCCGGGTTATGCCGGTTTTGATATCAGAAAAATCCGGGCTGTGCCGAAATTTTTTTTAAAAAAATCCGGGGGTTGAAAAATTAGGTCCGATGCAGATCACTAATTTATAGCTCTTATCTGAAATTTTAATAATATTTTACTTTTAAATTTGTATTTTCTAATGTAATTTTTATTTATTATTATTTTATATTAATCATTTACAGCTATGTATATATGCATACCATGCTATATGGAAAAAAAAAGAAATCAAAAAAGGAAGTTAATATTAAAAAGAATAAAAATAATGAAGGGGAGGAAAAAATTATTTGGGAAATAATCACAATAAATTTTCTGAATGAGATACATAAATATTAAACATTTTTAGAAGGATATCCTGAACCTGATTATGTCTTTACATACCAAAAAATCAGCGAGTTACAGTAAATTTTTTAAAATTAAATAGTTATCGTTATTTTTTCGTAGAAATGCAAGTACTTATTTATAATATTAAATTTATCTAAATTTTTTACTTTATAATATCTTTACAACATGGTCTTAATTGAGGGCCTTTTAGAGACCCCCTCCCCCAACTGGTAATAAGGTACCCCAAATAATTAAGATATAGATGATTCAATTATAAAATGAACACTGATTATGTATATTGACTAAAAGGATATCCCCCCTTGAGATTTCATTGGTGGTACTGATTCGTACCCCCTCCGTTAGAAAGCCTTAGTTTGGGAATTGAGCATAAATCAGGTAAATATGAGTCTACTATAATAGTCATATTAACGGGTAAATAGAGATTTTAATTTTTTCTCCTATTATACTGCAACATGTTCAAAATATTAATTTTTAGAAAGAGTAATAAATTATCATGACAACTGCCACCTTTCTGAATTATGATGTTAATGAAATGGAAACGTGTTTAAAATATCAATTTTTACCAAAAAATATTAATCCTTTTTATTTAAAAAATAGAGGCTTTCGTAATTATAGCATTTAGGATTAGACGAACTCCTCAGGGCAAGATTTTTTGTCAAGAACTCCAACGACTTAGACATAGGATAATTTCCCTTTGAGAAACCCTGTAAATTTATTAGCATTTTTTGCCTCTATTGCCGATATATGGGATTTGAGTAGTGTTGTTAAATGGCTCGATTTGAGCCGATTTTTTAAAAAGGTTAAAATTTCTTGGATGCTTAACGGATTTTTTAGTTAAAATAAAAACTTTAACATCGTTTTCGATTGGACTTAAAAAAAATGTGAGAGGGTTCTAACTCCAAATCAACTTTACAAATAAGCAGTGTAAAAAAGATCTTGCTAGATAACTTTAATATAAAGAGGGTGGGACAGGCTCAATATTTTTGACCCCAAATAATATTTAATCAAAATTGTGTTTAGAACCTAATAATAATAATCAAGTAAAGATTTAGTGATATACTTGAACGATCCGCTTGATGAGTAAACTGGACGGAAATTTTCGAATCAGGGTTTGAAGTAAACTAATTGAATAAAGATAAGTATGTTCTCCGTGACATACAAGTTTCTATTTTATTTAATTATGGAGAAGATTATTTTAAAATATTTTTTCCATAAAATTAATAAATAATTTCATACCTTAAAGTCAACTAATTTCTGAATAATCATATTTTCATCACCAATTTTTAGTAATGATGTAACTGAACTGTTTATAACCTTAGAAAAGATCTCAATTTGCTGAGATGCCGTAGAAATGCTCGTGATCTCATTTTGAAACCCAGCATCAGATATTAACTATAATACAATTATATTATTTAGCTAATATTAAATATTTAAAAGAATTGGATCATATACTTTGATAGCAAAATTCAGAAATAAGCAATCTGAATATTGCTCGGATAAGTTATATATAAGTGATCTCCAGGTTGAATGATTAATCATTTCAGGCAACCATGATAAAATATTATATTCTTCTTGTATGAATATTTTGTCCGCCATTTTTGGATTAAATCGTTTGATCATCAACTCCTTCAAGTGATCTTCAATGATAGTTTGCATCGACTTTAAGTCACAGCCTAATAAATAATAATCGCAATATAATATTGTACTTATACAATAAAATTTGCATTTATAATAGACAAAATTTTAGCTATAAAACTAAAAAATAAGAAAAAAATGGTGAATATAAATACTCAATAAACCTCAACCTTATAAAAAAATCACTTAAACGAATAAACCAAACCTTTTAATTTTTTTTAACCAAACATGTTTTGTTATATATATAAATGATAACTTAGACCACAATACAGTGGCACTCTTAAAAGACGATAAGCTATTAACAAAAGTGACAATAAAAATATAATCAAATAGTGTATAATAATATTTTGAATGAATATTTATTAATTCCGACATTCACAAAACTATGGCTGTGCCGAAATTTTTCACCAATCCAATATTACTAAAAACCTTATTTGATTCCGATCAAATATATATATTGATTTTTATTTACCATCTATCTTTGTATCAATATCATAAATATATCAATATTTTCTATTTTTACAAAAAACTAAATAACTTTGACCAATGATTAACTGTATTTTATTTTTTTATTCTACAAAGTTATTAAACTCATTCAAAAAGTGATGTACCGATATTTTTTATCATATTTCACCCATTTTAAAATATGGGTTATCGGCCAATATTATAAAATTTTCCGATCCGATTCGATAAAAAATTGCGTTTTTAATAAACATAAAATGTTATAAATTTTAAAAAAAGTTATATCTAAAATCATTTATTTTTATAAATAAAATCGAAATCCATTTTTGTTTATTTTTTTAATTTAATTATTAAACATTCTGCCATATTGTTATTTTTTGCGCATTCTCTTTATAAAAGTGTGCAATAATCTCTTCAGAATCTGTTTATAGTGAAGCTGGTGATATTGACAATTACCATCGCCACAGGCTGACCTCTGATAAATTGAAAATTTTGGTATTTCTAAAAAGAAATATTCGATATATTAATGTTAAATATTATTTAAAATATTTATTTCAAATTTCAAATTTCATAATATATTTATTTATTACTTATTATGTATATAGATTAATGTTATTACTTATTATATAAAAGTAATTTAACAATAAAAATATTTTATATACTTTTAGAATTACAATTGAATATAAACTATAACTGATCATTATAATATATTTAAATGAAATAAGTTATGGTATAGTTAGATTATAGATGTTATACTAATAAAAAGTATGTATATTAAAAATTAAAACCATTGGTATCTTTACAGAATACAAAATTAGATCGGATCGGTAATAAGCTGATATGAATTTATATCGGGAATATCGGATCGGATCGGCCTCCAAAAAGTGGTATCCGTACACCCATAATCAAAATATTAGCAATATTTAAGGGTTAATGTAGTGCTATAAAACAGCTCCATTTAGCCAATTTTTAAAAAGAGTTAATCAAAATTTTGGCCAAAATATTATTACCTAAGCCTCAAAATTTTGCTAATAAAGTCAAAAATCTTTCTGCCATCTGTGGGCAAAATCAGTAAGCATGAGTAATTTATTTTTCGACAAAATCTTGAGTTAACTGTTTTTAAATTGGTTAAATGGTGCCATTTCTTGTTAAATTTTTTAAAATCCCTTTTTTGTTGCAGATTAATATAATAAAAATAGTCTAAAATTTAAGCCATTTTTTTTAATTACAACAAATAAATTGTATTTTAGTTCCTTTTTTAATTTATAATTATGAAATTATATATAAATTAAAAAAATTATATGATTAAATATACAAAAAAATAACAAAAACAATAAAAAATATTGGATCAGTTTTTAAAAAATATATATCTGATCTATTTTCAGAACATTAAATTTTGGTGCTGATATGATATTTAATATTGGCACATCCCTACACAAAACACCATGGTAAAAATTTTATCACAAACTTTCTGAGGCTAGAAACACACCTCTTGACAAATGACATCAAGAATGAGGAAAATTATACTACTATATTTTCATTTACTGTCAAGTGATATCAATAATTTAATCTAAAGTGTGGCATCCAAAAGAGTTACTATATTCTAAAAATCTTATAGGGCAAGGAAATATTTCAACAATATAGGACAATAAAATACTAAATCAAATACAAGAAGAAAATAGATAAACTAAACCCCATAGTAAAAAAGTTTATCACAAACTTTCTAAAACTAGAAATACATCTCTTAACAAATGACATCTAGAATGAAGAAAAGAAGACTACTATTACTTCTACTGTCTAGTGATATCAATAATTTAATCTAAAAAATAGTTATTGATAAATACTATGTAATTCCAAAAATCTTGTGGAAGGAAGAAATATTTCAACAATATAGGACAATGAAATACTAAATCAAAAAGAAGAAAATAGTAATAATTGCTTGAAAACTAGCAAGATCAATACAAAGTTAATAATAATAAAATTGTATTAAGAAAATCATTCAATAGAAATAGGATTTATAAAAATTGATGATAAAAAATTTGAGAAAAAAAACATTTCTATTTTTCTAATAATTGTGATGAATTTTATAACACCTCATTATTTTTTTTATATATAATGTTATTATACAAAGTTTTACATTGTGACCACAATACATAACTAAATATTTTAGAATATTTAAAAAAAATGAAATTTTAAAAAAATTGTTCTAGTTTTGGAATTATTGATATATAGTTTTTAATCATCATTTTTTATAATAGTTCAGTATTAATCAAATCTTTTGCTGATTTAAGTTTTCCAGGGTCAAGCTAATGTTATAATTTAAATATATTACCTGTAAATAAAAGTAAATCGACTAATATATTAGACATTTGTGCAGTTCCATAGTAATTCTCAGATAATAAATAGACCACCTTTTCAGGCTCACCACCAACTTCAAAATATCTAAACAAATTACTAGTGGATCACACTTAATAGTATATTCAACCTTTTAAGGGACGCAAATATATCTGTTTCCATTATATAATCTTTGGAAGCAAAATTTTTTAAACATTTTTCAATTATAATTTGGGCAGAATTTTCATCGTTCTGCATCGGTGTAACTAAACTGAGAATTAACAGGTAAACTGAGAATTGACAGGTAAACTGAGAATTGACAGGTAAAATTTATTTTTGTTTTATTGCCTATCAATTATTTTTAAATATATAAATAAAATGTTTTTAAAGTAAAAATCAAATCTATCCAAAATTAAAATTATTTAAATATATAAATTAGAATATAGAAGATATTGTAGTCCATAAATTTATAATTTGTATAGAACAGATCTATTATATAGAAAATATAACACCAATAATATATTTTTTATATCATAATAAATATTCCGCTAGATGGCGTTATTTATTAAAATTTTAGTTTTTAATTAAAAATAATATGAATTATAGGAGCATAATTCTTCGCTCTGGATTAATTGATTTGGTACCGACTTATATAAACATAAAATGAAAAAATTTTTAAGATCCCATCATTATTTTTGGAGTTATGATGTGGATTCTCAGTTTAGTCAATTTTTTAATTTATTTTTAGATTTTTGGGATTTTAAAAATATTTTATTTTTTTGACTCATTTGATGTAAACTAACTTATATTAACATAAAATGAAAAAATTTTTAAGTTTCCATCATTATTTTTGGAGTTATGATGTGGATTCTCAGTTTAGTCAATTTTTTAATTTTTTTTTAGATTTTTGGGATTTTAAAAATATTTTATTTTTTTGACTCATTTGGTGTAAACTAACTTATATTAACATAAAATGAAAAAATTTTTAAGTTTCCATCATTATTTTTGGAGTTATGATGTGGATTCTCAGTTTAGTCAATTTTTTAATTTTTTTTTAGATTTTTGGGATTTTAAAAATATTTTATTTTTTTTGACTCATTTGATGTAAACTAACTTATATTAACATAAAATGAAAAAAATTTTAAGTTTCCATCATTATTTTTGGAGTTATGATGTGGATTCTCAGTTTAGTCAATTTTTTAATTTTTTTTTAGATTTTTGGGATTTTAAAAATATTTTATTTTTTTTGACTCATTTGGTGTAAACTAACTTATATTAACATAAAATGAAAAAATTTTTAAGTTTCCATCATTATTTTTGGAGTTATGATGTGGATTCTCAGTTTAGTCAATTTTTTAATTTTTTTTTAGATTTTTGGGATTTTAAAAATATTTTATTTTTTTTGACTCATTTGATGTAAACTAACTTATATTAACATAAAATGAAAAAAATTTTAAGTTTCCATCATTATTTTTGGAGTTATGATGTGGATTCTCAGTTTAGTCAATTTTTTAATTTTTTTTTAGATTTTTGGGATTTTAAAAATATTTTATTTTTTTTGACTCATTTGGTGTAAACTAACTTATATTAACATAAAATGAAAAAATTTTTAAGTTTCCATCATTATTTTTGGAGTTATGATGTGGATTCTCAGTTTAGTCAATTTTTTAATTTTTTTTTAGATTTTTGGGATTTTAAAAATATTTTATTTTTTTGACTTATTTGGTGTAAACTAACTTATATTAACATAAAATGAAAAAATTTTTAAGTTTCCATCATTATTTTTGGAGTTATGATGTGGATTCTCAGTTTAGTCAATTTTTTAATTTTTTTTTAGATTTTTGGGATTTTAAAAATATTTTATTTTTTTTGACTCATTTGATGTAAACTAACTTATATTAACATAAAATGGAAAAAATTTTAAGTTTCCATCATTATTTTTGGAGTTATGATGTGGATTCTCAGTTTAGTCAATTTTTTAATTTTTTTTTAGATTTTTGGGATTTTAAAAATATTTTATTTTTTTGACTCATTTGATGTAAACTAACTTATATTAACATAAAATGAAAAAAATTTTAAGTTTCCATCATTATTTTTGGAGTTATGATGTGGATTCTCAGTTTAGTCAATTTTTTAATTTTTTTTTAGATTTTTGGGATTTTAAAAATATTTTATTTTTTTTGACTCATTTGATGTAAACTAACTTATATTAACATAAAATGAAAAAAATTTTAAGTTTCCATCATTATTTTTGGAGTTATGATGTGGATTCTCAGTTTAGTCATTTTTTTAATTTTTTTTTAGATTTTTGGGATTTTAAAAATATTTTATTTTTTTTGACTCATTTGATGTAAACTAACTTATATTAACATAAAATGAAAAAAATTTTAAGTTTCCATCATTATTTTTGGAGTTATGATGTGGATTCTCAGTTTAGTCAATTTTTTAATTTTTTTTTAGATTTTTGGGATTTTAAAAATATTTTATTTTTTTTGACTCATTTGATGTAAACTAACTTATATTAACATAAAATGAAAAAAATTTTAAGTTTCCATCATTATTTTTGGAGTTATGATGTGGATTCTCAGTTTAGTCAATTTTTTAATTTTTTTTTAGATTTTTGGGATTTTAAAAATATTTTATTTTTTTTGACTCATTTGGTGTAAACTAACTTATATTAACATAAAATGAAAAAATTTTTAAGTTTCCATCATTATTTTTGGAGTTATGATGTGGATTCTCAGTTTAGTCAATTTTTTAATTTTTTTTTAGATTTTTGGGATTTTAAAAATATTTTATTTTTTTGACTCATTTGGTGTAAACTAACTTATATTAACATAAAATGAAAAAAATTTTAAGTTTCCATCATTATTTTTGGAGTTATGATGTGGATTCTCAGTTTAGTCAATTTTTTAATTTTTTTTTAGATTTTTGGGATTTTAAAAATATTTTATTTTTTTGACTCATTTGATGTAAACTCACTTATATTAACATAAAATGAAAAAAATTTTAAGTTTCCATCATTATTTTTGGAGTTATGACATATATTGTAAAACTAGTTTACTTCAATTAAAATTTATAGGCCCTTAAAAGGGCCGTTGGGTATTGGTCTTAAAAAAGACTGTTGGGTGTTGGTCTTAAAAAAGACTGTTGGGTATTGGTCTTAAAAAAGACTGTTGGGTGTTGGTCTTAAAAAAGACTGTTGGGTGTTGGTCTTAAAAAAGACTGTTGGGTATTGGTCTTAAAAAAAACTGTTGGGTGTTGGTCTTAAAAAAGACTGTTGGGTGTTGGTCTTAAAAAAGACTGTTGGGTGTTGGTCTTAAAAAAGACTGTTGGGTATTGGTCTTAAAAAAAACTGTTGGGTGTTGGTCTTAAAAAAGACTGTTGGGCATTGGTCTTAAAAAAACTGTTGGGTGTTGGTCTTAAAAAAGACTGTTGGGTATTGGTCTTAAAAAAACTTTTGGGTGTTGGTCTTAAAAAAGACTGTTGGGCATTGGTCTTAAAAAAGATAGCTGGGTATTGGTCTTAAAAAAGACCGTTGGGTATTTATGTCATAAATAATCTAACAATCGTTTTAATAAAAGATTAAGGCTAACGAATTTTTTTCTTATTCACTCATTTTTTTCTTATTTATTCATTTTTTTATTATTTTGTATCTCTATAAATTTATATACAAAGTGTCGAACAATTCATTTTTTCTTCATACCTTCAAATGTTTTTGTATGAATCTTCCGGTCAAATTTAATTATTAATTTAGTTTAGATTAAACGACTTACATAATTATGTTGCACACCTGTGGTTATTAAATAAATTTAGTTGATAAATTAAACGTAAGTAGGACTTCAAGTTCAAATTTCAAAGTTTTAAAAAGAAAATTATTTTTATAAAATTAGTAAATATGTAATGTATATTACATAACACGGTACTCGAAATATCTTACATAATATTTTATTCACCATTGTAAAATGTTGTTTACAGTTATGGAAAGGTTAATATATTATTATAATTATTTATCTCAATAGAATATATATAAAGGTAAAAAAACTATTATTTATTCATATATAAATTCTCAAATACAAAGTAAAAATTTTTTTTAACATTACAATTTATATAAGAGACCTGCAGGCCAGGCCCTAAGCCCGGCCCAAATACCAGGGCCGGACAGTATTTTAAATTTCTAAATATACCATGGACGAGCTGGGCTGAGCAGGGCCTTATATTCTTAAACCCAGGCCGGGCAGTAAAAATTTTTGGAAAAAAAATTCTAACCGGGCCGCTAAAATTTTTTAATCTGGGTTGTGTTGGCCGTACAAATCGTCCCTCTGCAGGTCTCTGATTTATATTAAATTTTGTAAAATATTATTCATAGCTTATAGATCTATTTTTTATTTTGAATTATTTATTAATTTCTTTATAGAAAGATTTGAGACCAACCAGAATTTTAAAAAAATTAGGGAATATTTTTAATTTATATTAAATTTTGTAAAATATTATTCATAGCTTATAGATCTATTTTTTATTTTGAATTATTTATTAATTTCTTTATAGAAAGATTTGAGACCAACCAGAATTTTAAAAAAATTAGGGAATATTTTTAATTTATATTAAATTTTGTAAAATATTATTCATAGCTTATAGATCTATTTTTTATTTTGAATTATTTATTAATTTCTTTATAGAAAGATTTGAGACCAACCAGAATTTTAAAAAAATTAGGGAATATTTTTAATTTATATTAAATTTTGTAAAATATTATTCATAGCTTATAGATCTATTTTTTATTTTGAATTATTTATTAATTTCTTTATAGAAAGATTTGAGACCGGTTAAAATATATTTAAATTTATTAATTTTATGCTGAATTATTTATGTAAAATAAAAATATTTTATTTGTAGAAATAGACGACATATAAGATAATATATATTATTTTGAGTATAATTATAAAATTTAATTTCTATATTTAAATAAATTCGGGTAGGGCTGGCAAAACTCTTTTTAAAAAAATTTCGGGCCATGCCTAGCTTGAAAAATTAGGCCAGTTGCAGATCACTACTATAAATATCAAGCTAAAATCTTTGTCGCCTTAAAAAAATAAAATTATACAATTAAATTTAATATATATTTATATTTATAATTCTGCACAATTTATATTAGTTATTATCCATGTCAGATATGTGTAATATTTGCAATGTGATTGTAGGAATGGACCAATCTGGGATTTTTTGCGATTTTTGTCGGAGATGGATTCATGCTAAATGCATCCCGAAATTAACTTCAAAGATGATGAAAGATTGGTCAGATTCTAATGATAATTATATATGTTCATTGTGTTATTTAATTGATGATGCTTTACCTAGGCTAATTAAGAATAGCAATATCAAAAACGCATTAAATGAGCTTAGATTTTTAGAAATTCATTATAAAGTTTCTGATAAATATTTAAAAAACAATTTAATAGGTAAGGAAGACATTATTTCATCTAAAATAATAAAAAATTTTCAACCCCAAATTTTAAATAATTACTCCCCGAGATTAGCCATTGGCGATGGTAACTGTTTCTATCGCTCAATGTCTTTAGCTCTTTATGGACACGAAGATGAACAATTATATATTCGTCTTCTAACAGCCATTGAAATCATAATAAATAAAAAATTTTATGATATAAATTCAAAATTTTATAATAATAATAAGACTATTATTGAAGAGCAAATTATATCTGGCAATTATGCAAAAATTTTGCGTGATGTTCTAAATATAAATGGATTTTCCCAGCTCTTGCATCTTTATGCAACGAGTGCAGCTTTAAAACTACCTTTCATGTCTTATTGCCCCCCAGGTGTTGGGATAGGATATAGTCCATACACCAAATTTATAAAAGGACATGATGTTAAACCATCTTCGAAGACTGATATTAATATCATGTGGACATGCATGACATACCCTAAGAATTTAGCAGCCTATTTTTAAAATCCCAAAAATCTAAAAAAAAATTAAAAAATTGACTAAACTGAGAATCCACATCATAATTCCAAATATAATGATGGAAACTTAAAAATTTTTTCATTTTATGTTAATATAAGTTAGTTTACACCAAATGAGTCAAAAAAAATAAAATATTTTTAAAATCCCAAAAATCTAAAAAAAAATTAAAAAATTGACTAAACTGAGAATCCACATCATAACTCCAAAAATAATGATGGAAACTTAAAAATTTTTTCATTTTATGTTAATATAAGTTAGTTTACATCAAATGAGTCAAAAAAATAAAATATTTTTAAAATCCCAAAAATCTAAAAAAAAATTAAAAAATTGACTAAACTGAGAATCCACATCATAACTCCAAAAATAATGATGGAAACTTAAAATTTTTTCCATTTTATGTTAATATAAGTTAGTTTACATCAAATGAGTCAAAAAAAATAAAATATTTTTAAAATCCCAAAAATCTAAAAAAAAATTAAAAAATTGACTAAACTGAGAATCCACATCATAACTCCAAAAATAATGATGGAAACTTAAAAATTTTTTCATTTTATGTTAATATAAGTTAGTTTACACCAAATGAGTCAAAAAAATAAAATATTTTTAAAATCCCAAAAATCTAAAAAAAAATTAAAAAATTGACTAAACTGAGAATCCACATCATAACTCCAAAAATAATGATGGAAACTTAAAAATTTTTTCATTTTATGTTAATATAAGTTAGTTTACACCAAATGAGTCAAAAAAAATAAAATATTTTTAAAATCCCAAAAATCTAAAAAAAAATTAAAAAATTGACTAAACTGAGAATCCACATCATAACTCCAAAAATAATGATGGAAACTTAAAATTTTTTTCATTTTATGTTAATATAAGTTAGTTTACATCAAATGAGTCAAAAAAAATAAAATATTTTTAAAATCCCAAAAATCTAAAAAAAAATTAAAAAATTGACTAAACTGAGAATCCACATCATAACTCCAAAAATAATGATGGAAACTTAAAATTTTTTTCATTTTATGTTAATATAAGTTAGTTTACATCAAATGAGTCAAAAAAAATAAAATATTTTTAAAATCCCAAAAATCTAAAAAAAAATTAAAAAATTGACTAAACTGAGAATCCACATCATAACTCCAAAAATAATGATGGAAACTTAAAATTTTTTTCATTTTATGTTAATATAAGTTAGTTTACATCAAATGAGTCAAAAAAAATAAAATATTTTTAAAATCCCAAAAATCTAAAAAAAAATTAAAAAATTGACTAAACTGAGAATCCACATCATAACTCCAAAAATAATGATGGAAACTTAAAATTTTTTTCATTTTATGTTAATATAAGTTAGTTTACATCAAATGAGTCAAAAAAATAAAATATTTTTAAAATCCCAAAAATCTAAAAAAAAATTAAAAAATTGACTAAACTGAGAATCCACATCATAACTCCAAAAATAATGATGGAAACTTAAAAATTTTTTCCATTTTATGTTAATATAAGTTAGTTTACATCAAATGAGTCAAAAAAAATAAAATATTTTTAAAATCCCAAAAATCTAAAAAAAAATTAAAAAATTGACTAAACTGAGAATCCACATCATAACTCCAAAAATAATGATGGAAACTTAAAAATTTTTTCATTTTATGTTAATATAAGTTAGTTTACACCAAATAAGTCAAAAAAAATAAAATATTTTTAAAATCCCAAAAATCTAAAAAAAAATTAAAAAATTGACTAAACTGAGAATCCACATCATAACTCCAAAAATAATGATGGAAACTTAAAAATTTTTTCATTTTATGTTAATATAAGTTAGTTTACACCAAATGAGTCAAAAAAAATAAAATATTTTTAAAATCCCAAAAATCTAAAAAAAAATTAAAAAATTGACTAAACTGAGAATCCACATCATAACTCCAAAAATAATGATGGAAACTTAAAATTTTTTTCATTTTATGTTAATATAAGTTAGTTTACATCAAATGAGTCAAAAAAAATAAAATATTTTTAAAATCCCAAAAATCTAAAAAAAAATTAAAAAATTGACTAAACTGAGAATCCACATCATAACTCCAAAAATAATGATGGAAACTTAAAAATTTTTTCATTTTATGTTAATATAAGTTAGTTTACACCAAATGAGTCAAAAAAAATAAAATATTTTTAAAATCCCAAAAATCTAAAAAAAAATTAAAAAATTGACTAAACTGAGAATCCACATCATAACTCCAAAAATAATGATGGAAACTTAAAATTTTTTTCATTTTATGTTAATATAAGTTAGTTTACATCAAATGAGTCAAAAAAAATAAAATATTTTTAAAATCCCAAAAATCTAAAAAAAAATTAAAAAATTGACTAAACTGAGAATCCACATCATAACTCCAAAAATAATGATGGAAACTTAAAAATTTTTTCATTTTATGTTAATATAAGTTAGTTTACACCAAATGAGTCAAAAAAATAAAATATTTTTAAAATCCCAAAAATCTAAAAAAAAATTAAAAAATTGACTAAACTGAGAATCCACATCATAACTCCAAAAATAATGATGGAAACTTAAAAATTTTTTCATTTTATGTTAATATAAGTTAGTTTACATCAAATGAGTCAAAAAAATAAAATATTTTTAAAATCCCAAAAATCTAAAAATAAATTAAAAAATTGACTAAACTGAGAATCCACATCATAACTCCAAAAATAATGATGGGATCTTAAAAATTTTTTCATTTTATGTTTATATAAGTCGGTACCAAATCAATTAATCCAGAGCGAAGAATTATGCTCCTATAATTCATATTATTTTTAATTAAAAACTAAAATTTTAATAATTTACGCCATCTAGCGGAATTTATTTTATGATATATAAAATATTATGGGTGTTTTATTTTCTATATAATAGATCTGTTATACATATTATAAATTTCTAAACTACAATATCTTTTCTATTCTAATTTATATATTTAAATAATTTTAATTTTGGATAAATTAAATTTTTATAATAAAAACCTTTTTTTTTCAAGTTTTTAAAATATAATTGATAGGCCATAAATAAATTTTACCTGTTAATTCTCAGTTTACCTGTTAATTCTCAGTTTACCTGTTAATTCTCAGTTTAGTTACACCCTTCTGCATCATTTTGAAAATTAACTTACGGATTTTTATAAAATTAGGTGAATGATATTATATCCGTCATATTTTGACAGGAAAATTAGCACTGTATTTGATGGCCGAAAATTTAAAAATAATAGAATCTAACTTTAATAATATTTCTTTTCAAATGGAATATATGCAAGGTTGGGCAGTAAATTTAATATTTATATTTAAAATATGAAATGCATATACAAGATTGATTTGTATTTATTTTAATATTAGAAAATATTTTGCATTTATATTTTAAATATTAAAAAATAAAAAGTATTTTGTATTTATTACGATTTTCAAAACGTACATAAATATTTTTTATTCTTTATTATAAATTGAATTATAAAATATAATCCACATTTATTAATTTAAATATTAAATTTATTACCCGATTTAGTGTAAAAATTAACATCTCTCATTTTAAATCCTATTATTTTGAAAATGAGCAATTTTCAAAAAAGTGAATTATATTTCACGTTATTTCCAAATTATATTTAATAATAAATATAATGATGTTTCTTTTTTTATTTTTTAACCTAACATTAACTCTTACATTTTTTTCATTTCTTTATCCTAAATAGAATTGCATTTTTTGTCTTTACTTTGTTTCAAAATAAGGGTTTTTTTTATTCTATGTAAAATTATTATTATTTTTTTTATATTACTACTTTCGATCGTTCAAATAATCTATATTAACTCTTTGGGGTTTAAATCAATTCAAATAACACATGAATATTATTATAGTTTAATATAATGACATAATTTCTTATAGATAAATTTTTATAAGGAAAGGACTAACTTTTGACCAGGGATACAAACCGAAACAAATATCGGTTCGGTTCGGGTTCAGGTTCGAATAAAAATAACGGTTCAAGGTTCAGGTTCAGTTCGTAAAAAATTAAAATATCGGTTCGGTTCGAACCTCTAAGAACCGGTTTGAACATTTTTATATCCAAACCTACATTCGAATTATGTATAGGGAGAATATTGTTTTTATTTTATCATTAATTTAAAAAACACATGTATAAAACCTTCATTTTTATTAATTGCACATTATAAAATAATATTTAATTTATAAATATAAAAATAAGAATAAGAATATATATCAATGATTAATTTTAATATGAACAATATTTTACTTTTTTTTTACTTAAATTTTTTTTATTAAGCCGCACAATTAATATATTTTCAAAATTCGTCTCACTAAAATTACACTATGAGGAGATAGTATAAATTTAATTGTTGAAAAGCATCTTTCCACACTGACTTGGGTAGCCGGCACTGCCAAAATATGATATCAGATTTGATGTGTCATTTATAATAATATTTTGGATTTAATTTTTCTCTAAGCATTATAATTTACAAGCTTAATTAAAAAAATGTTGTAAAATGACAATATACTAAAGTTTATAAAAATTATGACCGACACTTATCATTCAAATGTGATTGATGATAATCTTTAAAATAATTTGAATGTAATTAAAAAATTTTCAATATACTAATAATAACTTACATATTGTTTTATAAGCATATAATATGAGGCTCGAACCGGTTCAGAGACATTATAGCGGTTCGGTTCAGGTTCGGCTAGAATTTTTTAGCGGTTTAGGTTCGGTTCAGGTTTGATAAAAAATACCGGTTTTTAGCGGTTTAACGGTTCGGTTCAGTTTCGGTTTGGATCCCTGCTTCTGACTAATATATAGTTTTAAATATCTAAATAATAAATTTGGTTCGTTGATTAGTAAAATGTGATTCTTTTTACATTATAATTAAATGTTATGTGATCGTATTTGAAATGGAATTTTATATATTATAATAAAATGATTAAGAAACTAGCAATGAATTTAATAAAAATTTATATTACTCCAATTATACCCCAAATTCAGCAAAGTGTATCACCATGAATTATTTGATGGTGATTGGTACATGAAGAATGTTTAGAAGAGATTTGTTACACAATAATATTCTTGATGAAGTATTATATAAAAACCATAAAATTTACTAAGACATACAATGAAGAATATTCTTGAACACAATAAGTTTATTGATAAAACAAAAATAAATCGTAATGATCAAAAATGATCATCTATACAAAAAAAAGATGTTATTTATATACAAAAATAAATGTTTTCGAAGGTTTTATAAAAAAAACTTCAATTTAGAAAACCTTTTAAAGTAAAAACGAAACATAAAAACTTAATAGTTAAAACTGAGAGTTTGAAAAGAGTTTTGAATGAAAATTTAACATCATAAAGAAAAATTAAAAACTATATTTTATTTTAAAACCAAATGTCTATTTCAAATCGTGAATAATATAATAATAAATACAATTTTTCAATATAAAATTATTCCATAAAAAATAAAACTCTCTCTCTATTTATAAATCAGTAATTAAATATAAATAAAATACATTTTTTTTAAAATGGCAGGTTTCTCTTATAAGTTAGCATAGATTTGTAAAAACGCAATTATAATGAAAATACAAGTTTTTTGGATATGAGGAAGATTTAATTAAATGAAAAACGTTATGTTTAGTCGCAACATTAGATATATGTCATACTATTAAGGAAAAGTAGTTTTGGGGAAAGAGAAGAACTATTATCTAACAATGGCAAAATTTACCAAAATATGGAAATCGAAGATGGCCGAATGCTGGGACAGTTTTAGGCACTATTAATTATAGCATACGGAATTTGGTGAAATGACAGTATTGAATTTCTCGTTGTGAGAAGCTATATTTCCCTAAATTTTAGAATAATGAACTAGAGTATTTGGTAGAATACTAACAACATACACCTAATAAATTTATCTAATGGCAAATTACTATGGTTAAAATTTATGCTACTATGACGACCTATTATTTATTTTATTTCTCATAAAAAGAGATATTGAAAAACTAGTATTATCTGACTTACATTATTGCAAGCCACTTGCAATAGCATTAATAAGGGGATGGACTAGCCGTTTGGTCCCTATGTGAATGTGATATTAAATAAGAAAAGATTTTGCCACCTCTCTCAAACCCCTATTTTAAAAAAAGATGGGTAGCATAGGAGAAGTAACATTTGTAACATAAGCTTTTGAATAAGACACTCTTTCAAAAAGAAATTAAGATAATAGAGGAAGAAAATATTTAATCCTATGTTGAAGACTATGATTATTTTAGTTTTAAAAATTGTAATATTAAAGCATCTTATAATGTACAACTAAAGTCTTAAATTATTTAAAAAATGATGGAAAATATATAATGTTAAATAATTTTAAAATTAAATAAAAATTATTTTTTTAAATATACTATTTTACGATTTAGGTCCTTTTGGCTTTGATAAAAAGATTATTTAGTTTCGCAAATATAATTAATAGGCTTAGAAGAAAGTATATTATTATTATTATTTGAAAAACTTATACTAAAAAGTAATGATTTATCAATTTAATTTTTTTTCCAATTTTAAATGTTATTTATTTGAATTTTTTTTATAATTCGATGTCTGCAATATTTGTTTTATTGTACAATATATCAAATTTATTATATGTTCTGTATAATGTGCCATCTGTGAGCATCTTCAAGCTTCCGTAATATTTTCCTGAATATAGACATCGGCTAAAATCGCACCATTTAACAACATTAGCTGCAACAATAAATATTAATTTTTAATGTTTGCGGAAATAACATATTAGAACATTTTAGATATGATGATATTTATTATTTACATAATATTAGAATTTAGAAAATGACTTTGGTATTTATATTTAAAATACAATTTTTTAAATGTATTTATATTTATATTCAATTTTATTTATATTCGAAAACATTTTCTTAAAATTTGCCCCTCACTGTCAGAAAATTTATTGTCCCCTAAATTCCCTTGAATTTGATGGTTTGGGGGGTGGGGTGGGAGTATATTCACCTTTGTTAAACTTTGTTTGTTGTCATGGGCTATTAAATCATTAACAACGTTACCCCAGTAAAATGATAAAATAAAATAATGGGAATTTATAAAATAATTCTTATATCACCACGGAATGTAAAAGGCTCTGTTATAAATGAGATATATTATATATATTATTAATGTTATAAATATCATATACCAATTGTCATGTGATATTACGAGATTGATTTACATATATATATTTAATAAAGTAATTCAATATTGGCGACGATTGCGACGAGTTCTTATTATGAATAAAGAAGAAAAACCAATTACTAGTGGTGAATTGAATATATCAAGTGAAACGAATAATATTAATCAAGTAAATAATATTATACAAATGAAATTTGAAAATTATGATAAACAAAACAATTTTCAAGATTATATTGAGTATATAGATGATGTGTTGGAGGTAAGAGGTATATTAATAAATAATGAAACCAAGAAAAAAATATTATTTGCTTATATGGGGATTAGTAATTTGTCAGAGATGAGGTCTTTTGTATATCCAAGAATTTTGAAGGAACTTAATTATGAGGAGATAATTGAAGTGGGTAAAAAAGTATTTAAGCCTATTTCAACGTTATTCAGCTCGAGAATTAAGTTTATTCGGATAGAAAGAGGGGATGGTGAAGCAGTTGCTGAGTTTGCAGACCGACTTAAAAAATTGGCACAAGAGTGTAAATTTGAATCTGACCTGGATGGGAGATTGAGGGATCAGATGGTGTGGCTGGAATCAAAATGGCTGCATTGGAGAAAGATATTCGCACCAGGGTTCGTCTTGAAAAGTTAAGCAGATCACTCCGATTGTGGTGACCCGTTCTAATGACATACCAATATTTGGACTACCATGGATGCTGGTATTTAATATGTTTATCCCACGACAAGTTACTATATGTAGTATCACAAGTAAAGAGGTTATGACAACCGATAAACAAATTGCTGGCATAACGACAGAATTTATCAGTGTTTTTGATGACAAGCCAGGACGGGTGAATGGTATGAAAGTTAGTATACATCTGAGTGAGGCAGCAAGGCCGAAATCATGGCCAGATCGTAGAGTACCTTTTAAATTATGAAAACTA